CACACACACACACACACACACACACACACACACTTTTCCTCCACGTTCCCCATCATCAGCTCCGTCTTCATCCCATGATTCTCCCCCAGGGGGCGACAGATGTCAAGTGATTTCTCAGATAAACAAATGCAAAATTATAAGAACAAAAATCCTCCCATTGACTGGACGGCTCCTTCTCAGTCGTCTCGTGTGAGTTTCCTGCGTCACTCCTGTCCGAACCCCTCCGTCTCCTCGATGGCGAACAGGAGTTTCTCCCGCAGCTGCTCCAGGCTCCTGTACGGAGGCAGGTCCAGACGGTTGAAGCTGTGAGGAGGAGACACCACGTTAGTCTGTGTGGATGGTGTTTTTGTAAGTGACTGTGATTCTGTTTAAATTCTGGACGTTTTAATTAACTTCACTCTAAAAGCTAGTTTGTGTGTTTAAGTTCTTTGGAAGGTGTTTGTGAAAAAGCAGTAGTGATTTAAAACGCTGTTACAAGTCGTATAGAAAATCAAAGCATGTTTGACCTGAAATGAATAAACCTACAAACTCTTAATAAACAGATTCTTCCAGTGACACATGAACGTGATGCTACATTCGTGATCGATCCTTGAAACCAGTCACAGGCCTTCATCAGGAGCTGCTCACCATGTGTGGCTTCTTGGAAGCCAAGTCTCCTTCCCCACCTTGTCTATGCAGAACTTCTGGGGACCGTTACTTCCTGCAGAGAAAAGTCCACTCATCAAATATCACTGGAGATTTAATGTTGAACTAAACGACAACAGTATATCAGATGGATGCGACTGCAGTCGTGTGTGTGTGTCGTCACCTATGAGCTCAGCGAAGCCTCCGACAGGCAGCCGACAGGTTCCTGTCACGAACTGAAGCAGACGGATTCTCTTCTCGTTGTCCATGTCCTTCACCACCTGCGGGAACACCACACTCAGTTCTCACACTGAACACACATCCTGCACTGTGTGCCCTCAGAACCACAGAGCGCCCCCTACCTGCCAGAACCAGTGGATCTGCTTGCTGTTCTTGGTGTAATGTCTGTAGATGGTGTTCCTCTGCCAGTCGGACAAATCGATCTCCTGCATCCCACAAAGCATCAGCTGCAACCGACCACACACAAGGTTCAGTGAGTCAAACTGGTTTTACACGGGATTTAAAGATGGCCGACACGACCCCTTAAGTGAAGCCAAAACACTTCAATCGCTCCCCTGGTGGCAGGCTGCGGTATAGGTCATAAACCCTATCTCCTCCATGTTAGCAGATGGGACATTGATAGGGTTATAACACTGATGTATCTTCAAGTGTTCTGATAAGTTTGGGCGAGTGCACCGTGTGGGCGGGACCCATAAACATCTGATCTCACCTCGAGCTCCTTCTCGTCGAAGTAGCGGAGCCACTCGAGAGGAACCACCTCGTTGAAGCCGTCCAGGAAAGCTTTGGTCTGCTCCTCCACGCCGCGGGTGAACCTCCAGTCTGTCAGCAGGCTGAGGGGAGGGAGAGAGTGGCCGCCATCTTTATTTTCCTCCGTTTCATTTCTGATGAAGTTGCCTCTCTGTCTCTTGAACACGGCTCTGATTAACGTACCTGATATACTCCTCCTTGTTTTCCTCCGTGACCAGCTCGTTCTCTCCGTCGTCCTTCAGCTGGTGAGTGGAAACTTTCCCGAGGATCTCCATGTCCTGAGCGAAGTACAGCTCCACACCGCACTCCTCCAGGTTGTTTTCTCTGGACACAGGAACGCACACGTTCAGGCACCAGAAATCTACATAAGCTCGTATGTCCAGTCCTGCTGTGCAGTACTCACTTCACCCACATGATGGAGTTATAGAACTCAGGGTCGATGGACTCCAGGTCTTTGAGAGTTGGTTTCTTATCCAACATTCGTTTATAGAACGGCAGCGTGAAGCCGGTGTCGATGAACTTTCCGTGGTACAAAGCCTAAAGGGCAGATTAGGTACGTTACACACCACAATGAGAAACGTCACGCTGCGACTCGCTGCTAAAAATATAACACACACACACACGCACACACACACTAAACTTGATGATACAGCAAGAAAAAGTCACAACTTCATTAGCTGTGAGAAAGTTAACAGCTTGTTGATCGACGTGTTGTTATGACAGGTTTCTTAAGAGGATGCATTATGTCAACAAGTGTGTGTGTGTGTGTGTGTGTGTGTGTGTGTGTGTGCGTGCGTGTGTGTGTGTGTTAACAGAGAGGAAGAGCGAGCAGACTCAACCAGACTGAGCAGTTTAACCTTCGCCAAGAGTAACACAGGTGTGAGCGGAACATTAGGATTAAAGATGGAAAGTTTCAACAGAGAGAGAACCGGAGAGCGAGCAGGTTTGTTCGTTGGGTGTTGGTGGAGAAAAGAATCTTTATAAGGGAAGTCAGCAAACTGCAGTTCTGGGTTAAATATAGGCGGCCGCCGGTGGGTGTGGGCCGGGTGCAGCAGTGAGGTCATGGTGTGGGTGACGGGTGGGGTGGCAGATGGAGGAACGGGTGGAGGGTGTCACTCCTGGGACCTACGGGTTTCTACGAGTACGTCATGTACTGAAGGTACTATCTACACGTGTTTACATACATGTTACATGTGTGGTGAATAAACGGTGAAGACTCGTGTAGAAACTGGGACATTCAAGGGTTCTGCAGTTTTCAGTCATCTCAACATCAACTTCAATCTAAGATGAGTTTATCATCACGTTCGTCCTGTTTGTAGTTTTATTACAGCTTTTTAATTTGTATCACTGAGAAGAAACTACAACACAGACGTTATACAAAGTTTATAAAGAATTAAAGGACAATGAACAATAACTGAATGAAGTTCTACCTAAATATATTTAGACTTTTTAAATAAATAAATGAAATTCTGATTATTGAATTTTAGACCTAGTAAGATGTTTTCAAGACTCTGCAGAAACCCTGAAAATTGTTCTGTATCTTGTTAATTTAGTTTTAAACTGAAATGGACCCAAGTCTGAAATAAACCTAAATAAATATTGGCAGCTTCACTGGTTGAGTCTGTGTCAAAACACAGACGCAGTCGATCTTTAAGGACGGTGAACTGTGGAGCCTGATTTTAATAAGAATGCTCGAAGTGAAGCTCACCATGGCGATGAAGCGCCCGATGAAGCGGAAGTAGGTGAGGTGGTCGGGGTTGATGGAGGACGCCGGGTTGATCTGCAGACAGTAGTTGTTCTTGCCGGCGTATTCGAACAGACAGTACATGGGGTTCAGGACCTCGTGGGACAGCAGGAAGAACCACTCCCTGCAGAGCGAGAGGACACAGGACGACAGCAGGGACGGACTGTTATCACCTCAGAGACGATCCACACACACCCACTCACTTTGCAAAATAAAACCAAAACTTCAACCGTGACAGATTTTAATCAAACACTTGTTCGGTGTGGGAGTCGGCTGTGGAATAAAATGACACGTGAAACACTCAGTGAGACAAACTACACACGGATCGGACAAAAGAAGAACATTTGGTCCAAGGACAGAAAATGATCACTGAGCGTTAAATAAAATAAATAAAAACAAAGACATGAACAGTACTGAGGTTTACTCTGTGTTTGTTTGATTCAGTTACTGAGACACGAGTTCAAACACACAACACATCAGGGCCAAAGGTCTGATCCGGATCCACGAGCCGACATCATTGATTAATAACTAAAATAAACCTCACACACGCACACACGCACACACACACGTGTTACTTCGTCTGGTTAAAGGAGCAGTTTGACTTTTCTGCAGATTCACTATCGACATCCTGGAGTCTGCTGGTTGCCTGGCAACCTCATTGCTCCGCACCACTGAATCGTTCCAGGTTAATAAATAAATATCCAGCGTGTTGATCTGCGTCCACTCTTCACGTTAAGCTTGTTATCTGATGTATTTTTAAATTCATCTACCTCTCGACAAAAAAAACTAATCAACCTTCACTCTTCTCTTAATTTGGTGGTTTTTTTAAAAATAGAAGCATTTTACAGAGCAGCTC